GATTGATCGATTATCGGCCCATGGTGCTTTTGGATTTATTATCCGAATTAAATGTAAATAGCGCTGTCATTCGAAATCGAGTGTTTTTTTAAAGGAAAGTCGTCATTCACGTGTATTTTACGATGACACGCGTACGGATGAATTTCTGCTAAATGTCATTGAAAGACAAGTATCATAAATGTGAAAAGTTCTATGCAATTACAAATGTACACATATGTCTGTTTTGTTAAATGGAACAATATTTATATTTATGAATGTTTTTGCAAATTTTTAGAAGCGTCATTATTCGGTGTTTTTTTAAGGTATAAAATAATTTTTGAATATTTTTTTAAGATTAAGATATTTTAAAATAGCTTTCGTTTTTTACTATATTCTTTTTTAATTTGTTTTTATTCGTTTATATATTTTTTTTTTTAATTGTTTCCCATACCTAAAATTGCGTTTTGAGAAAGATACCTTCTATATAGATATATATTTTCGTAAAAGAGAAACGGGGCGCTGAAACTCGCCACGATGGAATCTCCAAGAAATGGACAAACGGCTCGATGCCACCGAAATCCATAAATAAACAAACACATTCGCCGCCAAGAAAATGCACAAGACGGTATCTGCATACTTGTGTATTCGTGTGATCGCTCGTTTGAAATGAAGGATTTCTCTTCATCTCGTTACCTCAACACATCGTGTTTGACCGTTTGTCACACTCCGCTCAAGATTATTTCGAAGATTGAGCGAAAAGATGTATCGATATCTACTTTAATCATATTTAGAGAATAAGTCCAATGTGCCATTTCTATTATTGTCGATAATAATGAGATCTCCAACATGAATCTGATATTAATTGAATTATTGATCTGACCATTATCAATTATCGATACATCATGTGTTACGTGAATATAGACTTTTATATTATTAAGATAAAAATCGTATAGATCTATGTATAGGCTAAAGTTTTATAATTTAAATGCTTGTTTTATATTTTTCAATAATGTTTAACAGAGAGAGAGAGATCTCTTTACGGGACACGTCAGATTCACACCGTAAATAATTTTTTTCTTTTTGTTTCATAACAAACTTTTCCGTTTATGTCGCGCCGAGTTATGTTGCGTCCTGTGACACAAAATAGAACTTTTTCAGATACCTCTTCGATCTTTAACGACACACGTTTATAGAACTTTGTACACGTCTTTTTGCGGCCTTCAAGAAAGACTTTGCAATCGCGCACAGCTGACGCATCTCAATAATGCAGAATACACCACGATGCTCTGCATGTTGCTGGACGTCTTTTTATCGCTTTTACGAGGCCGCGTCCGCGTAATGCGCGGAAGGGAGAGTACCTTTAATCAAATCCTGAGATGTGTCCGTGACCGCTACCGTGCTGCGCGTGCTATAAGATAATAGTAGTCGCAATACTTTCCGGAATCCGACACGTTGTCGTGCACGTGCACCTTACGTTAAAGCAGTCGCCGATCAATCGGGTATCTTAATGACTCGAGAGATTAATAAGCCAATTAATTTCCCGGGTAGAGATTTGTTTTCGATTAGGGTGTATGATAAAGTAACCACCCATCACAATCGAATATGTCGCGACTTAAATTTAAGATTAATAGGAGAATTAATCTTTCGAATTACGACGGGCTTTCGATTAGGATGTAGACGAAAACACTCGGGTCGATTTAGCATTATTGTCCCTGTGGCAAAAAAAAATGTTCATAATTTTAATTTTAATTGTTTATTAATTACATTTCATAGTTATCATTACACAGTTTATAATTTATATATAACTGTAGCTTTTATATAATATTTAAATTAATTAATACCCCCGCATTTTATCTACATTTGCTTTTTTTGGTATTTTTATCTTTCTGTGTTTTTTTAATATGTTTACGTACACACACCCACACATACCACCAATTTTTTTATAGCTGGATAGACTTTGTCTTTGCATTTTTATATTCCCACATTTTTCTATTTTTACATTTTCATACTTGTATATTTTTTTATCTTTCTATGTGTATATATTTCTCTGTGTATATATTTCTCTATCTTCACAAACGATTATTGGTACGTCATTTAACAAAAGTAATGTGTTTGAGCGTCGCTATTGTTCAATTGGCGTTCGATATTAGACCGCGGGTAGAACTCGAAAAAAAGTGTTTATATCGTTACTCTTATTGACATGCAGCATGAGAGAAGGAACGTTCGAGTTTTCGGAAAAGGCTGCCAGACAATGCGACTCGACGACTAGTGTGCGATCAACGGGAGAGCTGCGTGTATTCTTTTCCAGTTCGTAGACATCAGCGGCTAATGGCAAAATGTTTTGCGCTTCCTCTCGATTCAGTGGCGTGTCGCGTTGCTCGAGAAACTCGAGCGTGTAGTTCCGCACGCATCAATTTGTCGGAGAATGTTTATTCAAACAATGACGCAAACTGGTGTAAAATTTTTTTGTCTTTTTTTTTTTTGCTTAGCAGTTGTAATTGTTTACAATGATACTCGTGTTTTTCAATTAAAAAACAGCACATTTATTACATGAATTATGTGCTTGCGTATATCATTATATACGACTTATAATTACACAGACAACAGCCTTAATTTTTCTATTTAATTCTTTTTTTTCTCTCGTAAACTCTAATATGACGCAAATGTGTCATAAATTACAAATTACAAATCAATTTTTTTCCATTTCTTTCTTCTATTAATATAATAATGATAATATTGATAAGTCACAAAAACAAAATATATAACATTGCATCGTCGTTTTAAAGCGATGACAATCGCCTTTTGTTCTTGCAAATAAATTTCATTCTCCCCAGGAGGGATCTTGGTCCCGTTTTTTGACGCGTAAAGAGTTACATCGTTAACAGTGTAAGCCTGTAATGTAAGCGATCCGCTACCGTTGAATTTCGATCTACTCTTGTAGTTTAGCATGACATCCGCGCGTACTTGTCATCGTACGTAATATTCGATCCGAATGAATAAAGCGCGGCTTCGTAAGTACGAGTACTCTAGCCACGGATTATAGATGAGAGACGGGTTATATGTACGCAGGTGCGCACTCGGGGATTTATCAATTATGAAAAAGGTCACGAGGTAGGACACTTTGTACGTGTTCAAGTTTAGTTTCACGATCAGTCTGACATCCCGGCTGGCCCGTGGAGTACCGGACTCGCGCTCGCGCTCGCGAACGTCGCACTCTCGTTATTCGTCAACACCTTTATTCTCGAATCCTTATCGGTTTTTTTTTTTCCGCTGACAAATTATTCTCCATCCAATCCTTCTCCGCTCTTTTACTTTTTGCCAACATCTTTACTCGACGAAAGGATCGGACCGCTGGATCGGTACGATCTCTTCTTCTTGCGAAGAAAGCTGTGCGGAGACGGATCCTTATTCTCTCCGCGGAGAGACCGCCGCTTCAAAAATGGGCATCATCTTCCTCGCGAGGTTGGCTCTGCAATCGCTGAACGCCAAGTGGCGGCAATCGAAGAGAGGAATATTCAGGAAGTGTCGATACCAGCGCGGTTTCTATTGAGAACTCTTTCGCTCTTTTGCGATCGTTTCGTTTCGCATCTCTCTTTCTTTCTGACGGCGAGAGGATCAATCGTGGTCCATTCGTGCGCGTTCGCTTCATTGTGCATCGTCGCGGTCACGGCAGGCCGCCGCTTGTTAAAGGCAGCCTGGCTCGTTGAACCCGATGAGCTGAGGTGTGGTTATTCTCGCGCCGCGAACAGAGACCGAAACTGGTTCGTTAGTCATCGCGTCGCGTTTTTTTCGCTTCGTTCGGCTTTATCTCATCTCGATAGCTACTTTTTCTTCTTACTTTGCCCTCTCTCTCTCTCTCTCTCTCTCTCTCTCTCGTTGTCCTGATCTTGTTATCCGTCCTTGTCTCCTTCGCCCCTTCTCGTTTCCGCAGAAGTTGGCTGGCAATCAACACCTGAACGTTACTAATAACCATTTATAATTGCTACTATTCTCTTATTTTCATTTGTTAACTACTTTTTATCCTACCTCTATTATTTCCTCGGTCGCATTCTGTCATTATTCAGCTCAAGCGATAAGCCGAATAAAAGTAGATAAAGACGGTCGCGCCAAGTAGATAGTGACACTTTGTGTCACATGTGCATAATCCACCGCGTTACCAATCGTCGTTCGAAAGAATATATATCGTGCTCAATTATTGGTGAATCATCGCGTTGACAATTGTGCAACTTTTGATAACGAGAATAATTTTGATCGAGAATCATTTGGACATTTGTCGGCTTCTGTTCGATAACCAAGGGGATCGATTCGAGCTCACGTCGATTGTTGACCGATTGACAATCGCCGTTGAAGCTATTTCAGTACATAAGCATTCTCGAAGAAAATTCAAGAGATATGTTATCTCGAAAGCAATAATAATAATAATAATAATAATAATAATAATATTGTCTCTCGCGAAACGGAAACGATGATGGAGTTCGAAACACAAGCGTTGATCGAGCTTTGTTTCTCTTCCCGCCCACTCACCCTCACCAGGGCAAGGTACGTGACTTCTAGCACCTTACTTGGTTGCGACTGTACAAGGATGATAATCTCTTACGAAAGTAAATAATGTCATGCATATCTTATCCAATCAAGAATTAATCGCAGACATTTGATTTAATCAAGAAGAAAAGATCACTTGTGAAACAAAAATTGCACACGATATATTGCAAAAAAAATCACTTATGTTTACCATAATTGCTACATTTATCAGAGAAACATCTATAGTCTATAAGTCTATAGTCTATATCATGTAAATTATCAGTTTATAAAACTAACGCGCTTATTAAGTAATTAATATATTTTTTATTGTAACTATATAAACTATAAATAAATATAATTCTCTGTTAGGATAAAAAATGTGTCGGAGTATCGGATAAACGATACCTAGTCAAAGAGCGATCTCACAAAATTACAGCACTGATTCTTTACAGCTCCAATTCTCTCTGTCTCAAATCTCATCTGACTTGTGTTGTTCGCAGGTCTGCGGGGTCCATAGGCGCGCGGTCGGCACCCAGCACACCCCTACAAGCTGTCCCCGATGCGTCGCAGGCCGCGGGCCAGCAATCGACCAGCGGGTCCCAACTCACCGTGGCCGGCGCCAGCTGTCCTCAGCCTCCGAGGAGCCCCAGTCACGCGGCCTTGCGATGTAACGACAGGTGAGGAGATCTCGTTCGTAAAGCGCGCGTTATACGCGAATTTTGCCTAATCACAAATCTAATAACGGAGCCTATTTTCTCGCGCGAAATGAAACGACCAATGTAATGGGTTAACGTTGTATTATTAATTTACGTTATAGACAAGAGTAGCGGAAACACACTAAAAGTAAAAATAGAGATATTAGTTTTAAGCAAAAACACGACATAAATTATGCGGTATAATATATGTGCATTTTAGTATCTTATTTATTTAAATCATTAAATCTATTTTATCCAGATTTTATAGAAATTATACGACGCATTATATAGAGGCTCTATAAATTTGCATGCGTGGTATGCGCAAGGAACCGCTTTCTTTGACGTTTTCGATATTATTTCCGCGACACGGACAGTGATGAATAGCTTTGCGTATATGGGTATGCGCGCTTTTAATAACGTTGTCTCGATATCTCGAATATCTCTATTTTCGCGGAATAGGCAGTATGTTATCGGCTCTCGAGCATTATCGATGAGGCATTTCTGATAATGATAATGTCGCACCTGTACACACATTGCAGAAGAGAACGAACAGAGTGGGAGGAGAGTGATTATCGCGGAAAACAAGACGTTATATATTTTCGCGATAAGACATTATAATTAACTTGTTTTTCTCTCTCTCTCTCTCTCTCTCTCTCTCTTTTCTCTTTTTTTTGCCACATCATAAGTTTCTATATTGGAGGTCTCTATTGGCTGCAGTTATTTACGGTACTCAAATATTATAACGGTACACGTACCGAATATGTTGAGAATGTGTGAGGTCAGACAAGCCTTTTCTGATTGGTAAAATTTGAGCGGAAAATATCTATACGGGAAATAATTACGTAACAACTAAAAAGTTAGTGGAAATTTTAGCAGCATTTCTGCAATTAATTAAGAGATGTTCAACGATGCATTTTCTTATAGTATAAAACATAATATTATCTTTAAACTCGGATGCATGTAATTTATTGAAGAAATTTATAAGCTGATAACTGTCTCTCTCTTTTTTTCTATTTTGGTCTTTTTCTTTTCTGCCTAAAGATTTTATTTAGGTATGCGAATAATCTATCGATTAGATTAGATTACACATGTATTAATTTTAGTAGATGGATCAATCGTATATTTAAAAATGATACAGTTCAATTTTGTATGAATCATATATTATTTTTTCTCACATTTCTCAACCACGGTTGGGTAACATTTTGGTTGCGTTATCTCGTAAATTTTTATCAGATCTAAATGGATACCATCCATTGATTTTTGCAGATAAACTAAGTATTTTCGAAACTAGAATCTTGCGTATCGTTTCGAATCGGGCAATACTTGGATGTAGATTGGAATATTCATCGCATATTTAGCGTTAAATGTCGCAGTTAGACAGCACTTGTAACGTTAAATCATGTCGAGAATAGAATTGTGTTTTCAAACAGTTCAATCGTGTGGGAATGTTTTGCGGCTATTCTTACAATAGCTGTGTGCCACGCATGCCGTTCATGAACGGTTATTACGATACAAAACATAACGTCGCAGGCATTATCTGCGTAAAATTGCCTTTTGTGATTAAGCCGTCTCGATGCAAAACACAAGTATCTCATCAATTTTCTAACAGTATCGCGCGATATTTCTTATTGTTAGATAAAATTTAAAAAATCTTTTTTTTCGTATAAAAAGTTTTTATAAAAAAAAATTTATCAAGAAGAAAATCTCTTTCACATAAAATCATTTTTCATAAACTTTTTACATACGATTACGGTTGACCTTTCCTGTTGAAAACGATTATTCATGCAGTCTTTTTTGAATGTTTACGAAATCCGATTTAACACAAAAAATTTTAATTAATGAAATCTGCGCGTTTCTTTCTTTTTTTTTTATCGTATTTTTTCTTAAAGTATCTTGACACGTCGAAAGAAACTGATATTACCCGATAAATATGTATAATTCTTTTGTTTATGCCAAGTCTGTCCAGTCTCTATTATTAATGCTAGTCTGTCCAGTCTCTACTTTGTGTAAGCTTTTATACTTCATTCATATTTATGCTATGGAAATGCTATTCTATTCAATAAAGAAAAATTTTTCACAGGTCAGTTTTAACAGCTGCCCGATAGAGAGATTATGATCTCTCTTTATATACAATGACTTTATATACAGAGACTGCGTTGCGAAAGATACGTCGGAACAAGAAAGATATACGTGTGCGAAATATAATACACGACACAGCCCTTATCGGTGCAATGTAAATTTTAATACACCGGAAAAAGGAAAGCTCGATATCGCTTCCTGTCTCGTGAACGTCTTCCCGAAATTATATCGAGTCATCGAGATTCGCGTTTTGCAACCCTATCGCAATGTCACGAGTCACGAGCCACAATAAAGCCTTCTCTCGCAGCCTCTTATCGTACCCCTCGTATCACCTCGCGCGCTCGTCCTCTCTTCTCCGTCAGCCAATTTTTTTTTGATCTTGCCACATATCATTATCGGACTTACGTTTGCATCCGTCATTTATCGCCGCGCGATTTTTTTTCTGCGATGGCTCAACGTACGCTCCGGACAGTCTCCCACGTGTTATCACCGACGTCGACAACGGATTGTTAAACCCCGCCGCGGTTCTACTTGCATCAGTCACGCGTTACGCCGCACATCGAACGGTCGCCTTACGAAGGCTCACGTACGAAGGAAAAATGAACCGACACGGTCAGTGATTCGAATTGAGATTGACGTTTTATTCGTTATGCAATATATTACTCTGATCAGAAGAAATCTGATTGGAGTTGAAGAGGAGTTAGGGAATATATATACTTACAATTAGTCATTTATATTCTTAATATTAGTTATACTTGTAGATATTCTCTGCATTCGGGATGTATCCGAGTATTTTCACGAGTAATATCTGCATTTCCGAAATTGCTATAAATAAGGTACGAATTTAATTATCACAAATGTTTTGCTTATTTTTAATAATTTAATTATTATTTTTTGATTAAATAATTTGATAATGAATGTATGGAAAATAAATATAAAAAATTATATCAAATCTTGATGCAGCTTATTTGATAGATGTACCTATCTGTTGTCTTTTTTATTGAACATTGAGAGGAAATTTTGATAATTTAATTAAAGTATATATAATATTTGTCTATTTAAAAATAATCCTCTCATACAAAACAATTATAAGAAATATCTGGTGAAATCATTTGTCTACGTTGCTTTGCAATGTTGTGTCGAAATTTTCAGAAGTGAAGGTTTTCGTATTTTTCTACGATACGCGGGTTTTTTCACGATTCAACGTATAAATCTATATCTATATCACTATCAAATGATAGTGATTTTTGATACGATTGTGGATCGCTGCGAACACAAGTATTTATATGAAATTGCCTCGAGTTTTAAAACGCAAAATTGAACAAGGAGGAACAACGAAAGATGCAAAGATGGGCCAAACGCGCGTGGAGATGTGGGGCAACGATTTGTGGAGTATCTCTATTATGGGCAAGAAGAACAAGACAGAACAGAACAAGTCCGACAAGTTAGTTGTTGTGTTTCTTTGGTAGGCGATATTATACGCCGTGACGTTAAAATTTCTATTTTAAAAGTTGTTATATAAGGTCATGTTGATGTTTTATTAATTATATCGATATTTAAAAATGCAAACACACGATGAATAAGATATGCGGAGAAGCGAGTTCTTAATTTTTTAAACTTTGGATAAATCGCGCGATAAGATATAAAAATAATATAAGTGATAAGAATGAATCTGCATTATATTATTTTCTCCGAACGGAAATTAAAATCAAGATTACTATTTGTCATAACTTATATTTCGGAATGAAAAATATCTCGATGTTTTTTTAATTAAATAAGAAACGAGGTTCATTGTAGATTAATCTAAAAGCGCGAGATATCTTAAATCACCATAGTTTGTCGCAATTAATTACTATATTTAATTATTGTCGAGAAAAAATATGTTTTAATCGTAAAACCTGTTGCCCGTATTATATACGGATACGATATACAAACACAAGTATATTGTGTAATACGTTAAAAAATGATACAAGATGAATATTAATCCCACTATATATATAATCTCCGGCAATGCAAGAAGAAGATAACTCTTGTGTAACCGTCAACCGTCATACAGTTATCATTATATGACTCTTTGGTGTCAGAAAATCAACGATCTTTGAACTTCTTTCCGTGTTTTAAATTCGCGTCTAGATATACTGTAGAGAGTAGCTTCTATAGTTAACAATCGTTACGATGCAAATATAAAATTTGAGCGCGTAAGCAGTAAGCAGGATATTCTTTTTCGGCATCTTCTTACTTGATAATATACAGGGTGTATCTGAAATGATGCACTAAACTTTAGGAGCATATTCTAGAGGTCAAAATGTATATCTTGGAGACAAGGAGTAGGGTATTTTCTAAGTGCGCGATGACACTCTGATATAAAGCGAAATATATATGACAGCGTTGACAAAAGAGATAGTATATATTAACTCATCTTTTAGGTTTATAAGGATCATGTTTCGTCTAATAAGTTGTGATTCGCCAAATCTTCCATCTTTTTAGTTTATAAAAATATATGTTAAAGATAAACTATATTTCGATTATATATGTATTGTTCCATTAATTATCTTTTAATAATCGCAAATATGAGAAATATTTTATAATTATGATTACTCTGTTATATATAAAATAATTTTTATTATTATTTCACGATAATTGCACGCTGTTATTGATGCAATTTTTATCTCGAATAATTCAGAAAAAGTTCAACTTTTTCTCTCTTTACTAAATTTTTATTTTGGAAAATATTCAGATATTTTATTGTTAGACAAATTTTAACTTTTCTGAATTAGACTCACAATTCTCAATTTACTATTTACATATGTGTGTTCGAATAGCTTATACTAGTCGGAACATGCTCGCTTATGTTAGATTCTTTTTTAAGAAAACTGAAATTTACTTTTTGTATGTTTAAGAATTTTAATATAGATACACTATAATTATACGTAATGATCAAGTAAATATTCTACCGCGTAATGTTTAATATCTGTAAATGGGAGTCTTATATTTTTGCTCTCTCTCTCTCTCTCTTTTTCAGTCACCTTTCGAAGCCGTTGAGTAGGAGTACACCATCGATGGCAGCTGGCGGCGCGCAGACTCCAGCAAAGGTTAGCAGATCCTCGTCGAGGTCGTCGCCGACGTCCACTAGCAGTGCGAGACAGAAAAAGTTTCACAGGCATTTCAGTCAGGTAGAATGAATATTTTCATCATTCCTTTCCTTTTTCTTCCCCTTCTTACGCATAACGCACATAAGGCACATTATATTATTCTTATAGCTTATAGTTATAAAGCGGGCGACGATATCGTGAGAATTTTTATCGCAACTTGTAATCTCCTGTATAAAATATGCATATTTTAATTTTATATCTCTGGCACTTAAAAAATATCCGTGTATTAGTCTTCTCAAAACAATTATAATTGTTTATAGGAAAATATGTGAGAAGAAGAAGGAGCAAATACTTTGTAAATTTGTTGCCTTTCTCATCAAATAACGTAATTCGTTTAATCTCGATCTATTATCATATTATTTACCTCTTTTCTATCCGTTCAACAAAACGTTCTCACACTGTATAGGGATGTAAACGCGTACGTCAATGCACGCTTCGATTGCATACAGTATAAAAATACTTGCCTTTATCTGTCTTTAAATACTGTCTTTAAATACGACGATACAAAAAATCAATGGCATAAATTATGAAGATGTATCAGAATTCATGATTCGAAATAGCAAATGGCACAACCGATTTTCTTGTCGGATAAAAATTTATAATACTTGTATAGCGTCACATCGTATATAAAAATTATTGACGAATGCAAGCGTTGGCACAAGGCAGCAAGACACAAATGATACGTACCAAGTATTACGTATCAACTTGAGATCAAGTGCATCTTTAGAACAAGGACGGTCGTGTAGAGTCACGAGAATCAACCTCGGCTTTAGAGCGTAGAATTTTAAGTACTCGCAAAAGATAAAGACTAACAATAAGAAGACTAAGAAGTAAGGAAACCCTCACGCGTCGCTATGATTACACGCTTAGATTGTACACGAAAAAAAACAAAAAGATGGAAGCACGTAGCCCGCCGCAATCTCGGCGGAAGAGCAGTACCGACCTAATGCGTAGCCTTCGAAATCTCGTTTTCAGGTAGCGGATGACGAGCACGTGCTCAATTATTACAGCTGCGCGTTGGTGGGCGACATCCTGCTGCAAGGTCACTTGTACATCACGCCCAACTACTTTGCCTTCTACAGCAACGTGTTCGGTTACGTGACGAAGCTGCTGATACCGACGGCGTCGGTGCTGAAGATCAGCAAGGAGAAGACCGCGCGCATTATACCGAACGCGGTGGCGGTGACCACCGAGGAAGAGCGACATGTCTTTTGCTCGTTGCTGTCGCGCGACTCGACCTACAAGCTGATGAAGCAGGTCTGGGACGCGGCGTTGGAACCGCGCGCCACGCCGGACGCGTTGCCGGCGCTCGACAACGACACCAAGTTATTAGCGCCGCTCGTCGATGATTCCGAGGTGAACGCCGCGGAGGATGAGTCGAGCATGTCTGAGAGTGGCACCGACGTCACGGCGACGACTTCTTCCAGACCACCGACCGTCTGCGTCGACAACACCGACGTAGCAACCGTGGCGCTCAACAGGCCGAGTTTGCCGCCCGCCAGGTGAGTCTATCTCTCTTTTTTATTCCATCATCTATTCATGAGCAATTAAATTTATTTTATTGAGTCTAATTGATTTTTTTGGTCAATTAATTAGTTTTAAATTTTCTATTTTAATTTAATTTAATTCAAATTAAGAGAATTTATTCAATTGTGGTAAAGTTAATTGAGATAAGTCAAATGAAAACTTGAAAAATATATAAATATATACGATGATAGGAAATTAAAAATATAAAGCAAACTTTTGTCTGTATCTTTGCATAAAATCGTAATAAATTGAAATTTTAAGTAATTTTTGCCGAGTCTTTTCTCAATTTATACAGCGCTTTGTGATATACGGTATATTAAAGTCATTCTCCTGATTGATGAGCGTTCCATTTGTCTTCCCGCAGATTTGAGACAATGGTATTAACGAAGACACTGATGCCCAACAGATCCGGTAGATTGAGATTTCTTCTTACCAACGGATTGAAACCTGGCATGGTGATAGCGATATTGGTGGGTCTCTTGGCAATTCTCTATGTATCGGCGGCTCTAATGATGATGCGCATCGATAGGCTACACACCGCTTATCTTAACCATCCTCTCGTCTCGCCTGAACGTTTCACGCAGGATCGACTATTGCATTATCTTAACACGAATCTGGATCAGATTGTGAAGGTAAAATATTATCCCGCGTGTATCTCTACTCTCTCGGAATAATGAAGTACAAATTCGTATCAAATGATTGTGAGGAGTCTACTTAAACCTCTTTAAGTAACCGCCATTTTTATTAACATTTTTATTGTTTTAAAAATAATTATGGATAAAAGAAGAACAACAATCTGTTTGACACAGTTTGCATATTAATTCTCTTTTAATTTTATTTTATAATTTATATTTTTTTATACGATATAAAAAAATACATGAAAAAATACATATTATTACATATATTTATGCCAGATGTTCAAATTTTATCTTATCGTGACTCACACACAAACATAACTTGCGAAAAGAATCAGTGATGATGATGACGTCATCTAATCGATTGATCTAAGTCTAAGCGGTTATCCATGTCCGTGATCATAGACATAGTATATCTAGACCGAGCGTTTGCTTTTATTTAAGGAGTGGGGGTAAAGATGCACGTAGAGAAGGACATACTCTGTTTCGTGCCCCTTGCGTTCTCTCTCGCTCGCACGTAACATAGCGTACTCCATAGACATAGTATATCTAGACCGAGCGTTTGCCTTTATTTAAGGAGTGAGGGTAAAGATGCACGTAGAAAAGGACATACTCTGTTTTGTGCCTCTTGCGTTCTCTCTCGCTCGCACGTAGCATAGCGTACTCTTTCGTCAAAATATATATATATATATATATTAAAACACTATTATATATAGTCATATTTGGATAATCTTATCTCGATATAGCACGCGTGAAGAGCGCGCCGAGCAACGATACTCTGATGAGTATCGACCAGGATAGTATAATACAGGAGCTCGCTTTCCTTATTCGCCATTAGCTCTTTCAGTACCTGCCTTAAACCTGCATTTAAGTACGATAAAAAGTTTTTAACAAATATATTCCACCCTCTGTCTCTGTCTCTCTCTCTCTCTCTCTCTCTCTCTTGCCACGTCCATTTTAGAATCTCGATAAAAGTAACCTCGGCTTTATAATTTTCTCTGCTATCGCTCAGCAAGATTTCGCAAACACGCTATTGGTGGAGACACAATTTGTGCCAGTTTCATGTCAAGAACTATAAATGTAAATATTGAAATCATTGAGAAAGAGAATAATTTCCTACGAGTTTGAAGATTGATGGTTGAATTTAAAAAAGACAAAAGGAAAAATATATATATTCTAGATTTCTGTATTATTGTTAAATAGGCCAGTTTTTATAAAAGCTTTTTTCCATTAAAAAGAAAAGTGTGACTTGCCTCAGAATTATCCACACTGATAATTTTAACGTGACTTTTGGTGTTTGTATAACATCTCGTTTAAGTAATTCTCGATGTCTTTGCAAACCGTAGCGTGTAAATTGAACTAATCTATTTTCATTTAATTGAACTTAATTTGTAATAAATTGCAGATTAGAATGAGGTTTTTGATGAATTTAGATGAGAAAAGAAAACAAAACAAAGACTCTTGCCTAAATATTAGTATTTGCATATTTATATCCCACGACGTGCAAGAATGAATATTTGCTTAACGATGATGAGAGAATTAAGCAAGAATGATAGATATTGGTTGTAAAATCGAATTGAATTAACAGAGGGATGATAATGCTCTTATATCTAACTCGGTACTGAAAGGGTTAAATTGCGCAGTTTGGATGCGAGAGAATTCGCGTTCTCTTGTGCGCGATTTATTACTACTATATGCTTTCAATTGTTTCTGGAAGTAACGATAGCGTTATACCTATCTTCTTCTGGATTTGAGGCGATCGCGCGAGACGTTTATATCGAAAGCGCGTCTAAAATTTGCGTAAAATTTTGAGAATCTTGTTGAGACATATATATGATGTCATCGACTTGTTGCAATATCTCACTTAATTCATTTATGCTCAACTGGCTGTGTCGATAGCCCGTTGCACGTATAAACTACTTAATTTATTTTTAATATTGTATAATATTTAAGAGAGAGAGAGAGAGAGAGAGAGAGTTGTTAATATTGATTATAAGATATTAAACGATTATTACAATGTGTAATTAAACATTCTTTTTTAAAATTCTGTAATTATTTATTCGATCCACTTAAACATCGACTTTGAAAGTTGACATATTATATTTTAACAATGGATATGTGTGTTTTTAAGAGAAATCTATTTTATAAATTATTATATTATAAGAAAGATTATGTTTTTATTCGATTTTCCGCACATGTAGTTGTACATGGAGAAGCATTTCCAGGCATAAATGAATTAAGTTCGTCGCGTTCGCCTCTTGTCGCATCTTCGAGATAAACGGCTCGCGCGCGAAGATGCTCGCGAAATATTTCATTTACTCGAACAAGCCCCGAAATCGTTGCACACCTTTTGAGAACGGAACGAGGAACGTTCGAAGAAAAGGAGAAGAGGTGTTATTATATTATAATATAATATGATGGGAGAGAGGGTGGAAGTTTTTTGACTGTGATAATAGGATCGTGAATGCGTGCTCGCATTGGTACGGTCGCGCTTAACTCTTTAATGCGCGAATCTCTTTCGCGCAATTGTTTCCACAAAATAGAGAAAGAGAGAAAAGAATGTTAAAAGAATTTTAATATATTAAGAGAAAAAATACACACACACACACACACATATATATATATGTACATATATATATATATATATATGTACACATATATGTGTGTGTGTGTGTGTGTGTACAGAAAATATACAGAAAATATGATCTGTGCAATCATTCGAGAAAGATATGCAACGCGTTAAGAGAATCACTCGTTGATCTTCCCGCTCGGAAAGAAAGGAAACCATTGATAAGCGCGACCGTGCTCTCTTTGAGCTGAATATGGGATCTAAGAGAAGTGCTGTTACATTAATTAGCTATATTTATAAAAGTATAAAGAGAAAGAAAAAAAAGGAGAGTTTGGGAGGAATTCTCTTAAACTCTTAAGTGTCTTTTACAATACATTGGTACATTGTTTCATTAATTATATTAATGGGATATACAAACGGTATTTTGGTATTACTTTAAGTTTCGATTTTTTATTGAACATTACCATTATCGTTACGTTTTTATTTTATCGATTGATTACGTCGAATATTTTATCGTAACTTGCGCAAGAAACGAGGTGACACGACACGATCTAACTGAGAATTTATTTTTTATTCTTTTTGTGTTTTTTCACGAAGACAGGACGGGGCAAGCAATATTCCTTTCGCGTGTCCAGATTGGAAATGTGTATGATTCGATTTTGTGCGGAATAGATATTCCGTCGATGCGTTTCACACTAACGCGAGTTACTTTGGTCGTAAAGAGAGACGTATGATTCATACGTGTCTTTATTAACGATTTATTAGGAGGCGGAAGTATTTCGACATATGCGCAAAAAAAAGGAAGAAAGAAAATAAAAAAACGAACCCACGCACGAAAAGCGGACTTGTGAATCGCTTTGCCGGAAAAGCTTTAAACGGGATTTTACAAGCCCTACATCTATTGCAACACGCTCATATGATGAATACTTGGAATTTTTAATCTTTCGATCCATATCGCACTTATATTTGGATGATACGCAATGGAGATTGATATTGCGATTCGTTTTATCATTTGAATGATAAGGTAAAACTGATTAGCCGTTTACGAAAGAGTCAGCAAGAATCGATAACGAAAAAGAAAATTAAGACGAATCAACAGCGATACGTTCTGTGAAATTGAAATTGCAATTTTTGAAATCTAAAATTATAATTTTAATTTCAAGAAATAAATCTTTGTTGATTACTTTTAATTTGTTCGAATTTTACAGAACTCATTGTCGAAATAAAATGGTTCCCGCGCAGATGATTCTACATTATAAAAAGTATATTCTAGAATATTATATTCAAAATTAATAGCATCAATAAAGAAAAGTTGAAAAAATGACTACGTATATTTTACCGTTTATTTTTGACCAAGTTAATGAATGAATAGAGCGAGAAATATTTGAAAAGAGTTCAATTAAAAGAAGATTGAAATAAAATAAAACTCTTATCATTCTTATTATTTTTACGCGGCAAAGAGCCGAGTATATTGGAGCAATCTTGTGCCGGGAATCATTAAACGGCTATCATTTCTGAGAGAGATGCGGAAAAGAAAGTCGAAACGTTTGCGAGGATCATAGCCAATAAACGCGAAGCGAGCCAAGTCCTGTGCCAAAAGATTTGGTAGAAATTGAGCGAAAAATTCTTAATGAAAATGCGCTTGTCTTTGTTGATTGTCGTGCGCTCGTACAGCTTTTCCGCCACATTAGGGAATCGATGTTTTAAAAAACCTACTATCTAGAGAAAAGTTGTGACGATATATGAAAACTGTTTATCACACAACCGAGTGGCATTATTTGCAGGATATCAATCATCGATTTGTGATTATTTGCGGAAAATTAATTTTTGTCGGAATGATAATTTTCTCACGTCGATAATTTGTAAGCCAAATAATTTTCTTATACGAATCATATTTCTTATATGATCATATTTCTAGTCAAAAACATTATTTGATACACTATATATATATGTATAATATTAATTATAGTTAGAATTTCTTTGTAAAAGGTTGTTAAAATAAGGGAAAAATTTGTAGAAACTTTATTATATGTGAAGTTATTAAATACATAATTCTGAATTAGATCTTAATTTCAGGTTCGACACACACATACTTTTAGTTTCATAAATTTACTCAAAGTTTTTTTCTTATTTATTTTTTTAAGACGAGTTTTTTCTTTATTCGCAATTTTGTCAATTTCTTGCAAGTAATCGCAATTTGATGATCGATATTATATTATGAATCGCGGCGGCAAGAAGGACAATTTTTTTTCCGTGCGAACAACGCAATCCGTAGAAGCCGCGGTGAAGTATGAGAGATGTGATGATTGAAAGAAAAATGCGAAAGACGATGAATTCCCGATCCGGAAATTAGCCGAAGCGAATGTTGCGTTAGTTAATTGCATTGCGTAGTCGGTAGTATACCTATCCCTCGTTCTTGTTTATATATGACTGCTACTTGCCTTATTGTAATGTTTTTAGACATTTTAGATGGGTGCTCAATACGCAAAGTCCGTTTATTTAAGG